TATATATATATATATATATATATATATATATATATATATATATATATTCCCTTCATACTTACCTTTTGATAAACCTCTCTTTATTTGAAACAAAGCCTTGCTTTGCAGCCCTGGCTGGCCTGGAACTCCCATAGTAGACCATGCTGGCCTTAAACATGAGAGACCCACCTATCTCTGACTCCCAAGTGGTGGGATTAAAGGGGTGCTTCATCAGGTTGGCCCAGAAGCTCTTAAAACGAACAAATAAACAAACACGCTTTCTTTAAATTCTAGATGTGCTCCCAGAAAGATCACCACTTGATTATTTTTAAATGGCGCTTTAGGTTCTGCTGGGTGACTCGACCCCTCCCATTTGTTTTTGATCCTCCTCTCCCTCCTTCCCCCTCTCTCTCCTCCCTTGTTCAGGTAAGCAAACTGAGCACCGTCTGGAAAATGGTTTGTTGCTCTCATTTACACTGTAGTCGGGGCTAAAGCAGAAGAGAGCTAAGGACACCCCACTCCCCTCTGCATTTCCGCCATTTCTACTTTCCCTCACCAATACCCTTCCATAGCAGCCTGTGGGAAATACTACCACTCCCTTCTCTGTATCTCCTCCAGCAGCTTCAGCCCAGCCTATATGCAGTGTCCCCTGCCACCCTTCAGGACCCCGAAGCCCTCCCCTGTCCAAACAGTAAGAATAAGCAGCCCTCTCTATCATTCCCAGTCAGCAACTCTCCGATGAGCACAGGACATGCTAGCCCCTTAATCTCAACACCCATTTCTCTATCCAGTCAAGTCCACTGTGTCTTTTTGCCTCCTGATTCTTCTGCTCAGGATACCAATGTTTGGGGGCTATCTGTTTTCTTCCAGGTATCCTTCCTACCACACAATGCAGAGGAGTAGGGAAAGAAATGCCCCACAGACTTGATAAAGACAACGCAAAGGGAAGACTGCAACTTCAGGAACAGTAAACGCTATGAAGAGTTACCATTCACACGTAGGCACCAGGGCTGTGTCTGTACAAGTATTCTTGTTTCATTATGGCTTCAGTTTCACAGAAATGAAAAGCGGTATTTTTGCAACATTGCACTTACAGAGAAACCCAGATGCTCAATACTTTCACCACAGTGACCACTAAATATCCACGTTCAGCATTTAACTGGGTTAATTACTTTCAGGAACATCAGCGTACAAGGAGAGCAGTTCCCATTTTCTACACTTGCCGAGTAAAGGTCGCTGCATCATTTCTTCTCCGTCTATGCTATGACTATTATATGGCTGTTACTGTCAGGTCTTCTCCCATCACTGCTGACTGCCTAGTTTCATCTCAGACCATGTCGGATTCACTAACTCTTGAGTCAAATTGTTCCTGGTAACCAAAGTCTTTAGAACCTAACTTGTGAGAGCTTGTGTCAGCAGTGACATAAGCAGCCGAGGGCAGAAGCCATTTAAATACGTCATTGGCTGTGGTGTTCCTCTAGGTGTAGCGGGAAGCTCTCACAGGAACTATGCCTGCTTTCTGTCATTTCATCATAGAGATGACTTCACGAACCACTGGGCCTCAGCAACCAAGTGAATGCATTGCTTCAAGTGCGAGCTCTCAATTTTTTCCTCGTCAACTACAATTTGAGTTTTTCCGTAACTGGTTTCAACAGTGAACTTCCACTGTGTGAATTAAACTTTGATCTGAAGCCTGCTTGTAAAACAAAACAAAACAAAAAAAATGAGCTGGCGGTGGTAGCCTTAATCCCAGCACTTGAGAAGCAGAATTCCGTGAGTTCGAGGCCAGCCTGGTCTATAGAAAGAGCTCCAGGACAGCCAGGGCTACACAGAGAAACACTGTCTCAAGAGGGAGGAAGGGAGAGAGGGAGGGAGGGAGGGAGGGAGGGAGGGAGGGAGGGAGGGAGGGTGGGAGGGAGGAAGGAAGGAAGGACAAAAACTCTCTTCATATAAAGAGAAGGTCCTAGTCTGGTTTTTTGCTCCTCAGAACTTTGTGTGTATAGCTGGAATGGAGATTTAAGATGCATTAATTAAATAAGAAAGTAGGAAGAACGCAATATCTTAGTTGGTTTTTTCTCAATGCGAATTACCAGTACTATTAGTGAAAACCATCTTCAGCTTCACAAGTAAACTCTTAATCTCATAGTAAAAGCTCACTGGCTATTTTCCACTAGTTACTGTAGAACTAAGTGTAAATTGCAGCCTAAAGAGCTGCAGAACTAATCATAAGTTCAAGAACAGCAAATATGTGCCCTTCCACCACTACTCGAATGAAATGCTACTTCCAGGAAATGGTCCATCAGAACACTCCATCTTCCCATGCTTTCTTCACCGTCTTCCCTGACTTTTGTTGTTGCTGTCTGTCACTTAAGGAACTTGCTCTCGTTTATTTGCGTATATCGTTCACCAACCTCTAGTTCGTTTCTTATGTTACAAGATACACACAAAGATGGTGGCGATGGTGAGAAACTGTTGTTGCACTACTCTTAAACAATATGGTGACATCGCACGTTCACAGCCATTTGCAAAATGTCAGTTAGGCCCTGTTAGCTTTGTGACCTGTCTTGTGTCTGCATTTTTGTCTTCCTTTTCCCATTACCCACATCTTCTTCCTTATCTACTAATGATCAGGAAATTGTTGTGGGTAATCATGTGTGCATGTGCGCATACATATGAACAGTTTTTCACACTCGTTTATAAAGAAGATTTTTTTTTTTAATTCACTAGAGGTGCTGAGGAGGTGGGTCAATAGGTAAAGTGCTTGCCAAGCAAGCATGAAGACCTGAGTTCAATCCCTGGCATGCACATAAAACCTAGGCTAGCGGTGTGCATTTGTAATCCTAGTGCTGAGGAGGCAGGCTTATCTATCTCTGCACCTCACACAGCAGCAAGTCCAACGAGATCAGCAAGTTCCAGGTTCCAGTGAGAAAATCTCAGAAAACAAGATAGTTGGCTCGGGAGGAACACCCGAGGATGACCTCTGGCTTCTGCACACATATACACATATGTGCACTGGATCAAATGACCACCTGTGCTTGTTTGTACACAGAAAACTCGTTAGAACAAAATCGGCATGGCTACCTATACTACATTGTACATGAAAATAAAGACAATATGAGAATTACTTTAGAAAAAAATTACTCTATTTTCAAATATATATAGAAAAATTGCTTCAAATGGACAAAAAAATTTAATGACAGTACAAAACCACCTGCTATTTAGTTTCACTTACTACATTCTTTAAACGCTTAAGAAAGCAACTTCAAGTCTTGAGTAGGACACCTTAAAAGAGTTTACATTGCCTGGCAGTGGTGGCACATGCCTTTAATCTCAGCATTCGGGAGGCAGAGGGTTGGTTTATAGAGTGAGTCCCAGGACATCCAGGGCTGCACAAGGAAACTTGTCTCGAAAAACCAGTAATAATAATGATAATAATAATAAACTAGTTTGAAAAAGAATCAGAGGACTTTATGGCTTGAGGAAATCAAGCAGAGACTTATCCTCAATTTTGGTACTCTATAAAAGGACCAGTGCTATTGACTGAAGCATTACAGATGTGGATTTAACATTTTTTAAAGGAAAGAGGTTGACAAAATAGTGGTCCTCTTACAAACCAACCTTCCTAGCACCGGCTGTCTTTCCACTAGGCGGGTAGGATAACCCAGTTCTTCCAACTTCAGCTAACTCCTAATCCATCACCTCACCTTTCTCGAAAATTATTTTTGAGGAAAGTATTTTGCACTGGTAAGTTGATACAAGACACAAGACCCATAAGATTTGCGATCCGTTAAATTTAAAAATTAATTCTAACCGTTTTTACTGTAAAATAATAACTTTTTAAAAAAGAAATCTCTCTCTCTCTCTCTCTCTCTCTCTCTCTCACACACACACACACACACACACACACACACACACACACACACACAC